GCGCAGCTTGTCAGTGAACAACGGCTCTGTGTAGTTAATGCTGCTCCATGTGAAAGCACGCACGTGATGGAGATTTACCGCTGATTACAGAACCGGCTTTACTGACAAGATTTATGGTGCAGCCCTACTCCAGACATAAACAATTAAGGAGCCATTGGCTCCTATCAGAAACAAAAATAAGCCCCAAATTCTTTTTTTTTAAGTGCCACAGAATAAAAGTGTTGTATTTATTATTATTTAATTTTTTTTTACACTTTAACATTTCAGTCATACTGTCATGTGGTCATCTTTTCTTGTCTTTGGCCGCATTTATGAGCGCCAAAACGGTATTTATTGTTTGAATTTCATTATGAATTTGGCAGAATTTTAAAGCTGATGCTTTGTTTATTAAAAGTCAACAGAGCACAAAGCTTATCATGATTATTGGACGTCAAGTGCCGTTAATCTATGGACTGGAGTCATGTGGATTACTTGTGGATTATTGTGATGTCATGAAATGAATTTAAGTTTCATGGGGGGAAAAAAAGAAATTCATAGAGGTTTTGGAACCACATTAGGCTAAGTAAATAATGACAGATTTTTCACTTTTTAGGTGAACTGTTCCTTTAAGTGCACATGGGTGTGTGTTCAGTGTAGTGTGTGGCCATCTCATTGCTTGCTCTGTAGTAGCAATTCCTCTGTGTAAACATGCTATAAATACTCATTAGTAAAAGCAAGAGGATGTCACAAACACAAAGAGCAAGAGTGCAACACCTCGCAGCAACAATAACAAGAGTGGCTAATTTAATTAGCACCATAAAACAAGTTTTTAAAAAAAGCCAGCGCCCGTCCTCTTCTCATTCATCCTTAATGATGGAATTAATCAGCAGTGTCTTTACGCATCTAATCTTAGAGGACACAATCTTTATTATTCTCTCTCTCCCCACTTTGGCACTTTTTGTAAATCAGTCCACACTTTTGTCATTGTGTAATGTCTGAAAGACCCAACAAACCACCAGCCTGCCTGTAAAACCTGGTGTCATATTAATTACCTCCTCTGATTAGATCAGTAATAAGTCTTAGGCAGCTACAGAGTCGGCTAATGATCATTGGCAATTACTTGATTCAAATGAGCTCCACCTTAATGAAGTCAGATTGTCGCACCTCTTCTGTTGTTCAGTCATTGCCAGTGAAGACAGACTGACATTATACACGGCGTTGAGAAATTAGCGTGACTGTAGTTTTACATCATCTCAATACACAACCTAATCATGATTTAATTTTGTAAAGAAATTCATAAAAACACTGAAACAAAAAAGTGTCTCAAAGTAAACTGTAATTAGATGCAAATGGAAAACATAAAAGCTTAAGTTTAAGCTGAAGCACCAAAATGACTAACTGACAATAAAAACTAAAGCTGTTTTTGAACAGCTTTACTCAACCATGTGCTAAAGCTCATGCACAGGATTGTGGAAAATCTTTAGGAAACAAATCAACCAAATACAAGGCCTTGTAATGTATTCCTGTGTGAAAAGATAAAGTTGGACTCACAGGTCGGTGTTTCTTCTGCAGGTGTTTCTTCTTCTTGCTGTGTGTATGGGCCAGGCGAGGGTTGTTCTCCTGGTCAGAGTGGTGGTGCTGGTGGTTGTTGTGGTTGAGTCGGTCCTTGTGTAGGTCCAAGCTCAGCCCATTCGGCACTCGGCCGGGCTTCTTCTTGCGCAGCGGTCCTGCCTGGTTCTGTCTCCGCTCGTGGGGCTTCAGGGCCATGTCCTTCTGCCAGAAAAAAAAAAGCAGATATGAGTGTAAAACACTTTTTGGATTAAACATTTTGACACATGCAGTCAAACCTGAATCTTTGACTTTTCATAATAAATTTTATGGTGCAAAATTCATTAGGATGTGTTACTCTACAGAGAGAGAAAAAAATCAATAATTATAATATTTTTTATCAAAATGTAAGAACTTTTAAGCCTCTAAAATGACTTTTCTGACTACAGACTTAACTAAGGCTCAGAGCGATGTCTTATAATAATGTACACTTCTCAAGATTCAACCAAATCTCAATAAACAAAATCAAGCCTTTCTCAGACAGCATTTTCCACTATACACTACCGTTCAAAAAGTTTGGGCTCAGTAAGATTTATATAAAAAAAGAACAACAATTAATACTTTTATTTAGCAAGGACACATTCAATTGATCAAAGGTGACAGTAAAAATGTTTGTTGTGTTTCTAAAGGTTTCAATTTCAAATAAACGCTGTTCTTTTGAACTTTATTCATCAAAAAATAAAAAATAAAAATGTATCATGGTTTCAACCGAAACATTAAGCAGCACAACTGTTTTCAACACTAACAATAATGAGAAATGTTTCTTGAGCATCAAATCAGCATATTAAAATGATTTCTGAAGGATCATGTGACAATGAAGACTGGAATAATGGCTGATTGAAAATTCAGTTTTGCCATCACAGTAATAAATTATATTTCAAAATATATTGAAATAGAAAACAGTTATTTTAAATTGTAATAAAATCTCACAAGATTAACGTTTTACTGTATTTTTGATCAAATAAATGCAGCCTTGTTGAGCAAAAGACACTTCTTTACAAACATACCAACCCCAAACTTTTGAACAATAGTGTATATTCGTTTTTACTCTAAAATATGTAATATTATACGGTTTCATGTCATTAAGGACCATTAATAAACAGCATGAAGACCATTCCTGTTACAGACTGAATGTATTTTGTACTAACACACATTACACAACCTAAGCAGTACGCACTTCAGTAGGCGTATGCTTGTCTACCTCCAGCAAACATTGTTCTGCCAAGCTGCTAAATAAAATAATCTTTACCCCACAGAAAAACAAGCATTTTGATAAAAGGAGTCTCAAATACAGCAGAGGAAGCAGAGGAGCAGTGCTCCGGTCTGACACAGAACTTTCTCATCCACAGAGGACTCGAGACAGGAAGATCAATATTCAATATGACAAAGCTCGTCTCTGCAGGGGAGCTGTGTATCTTCACATATCTCTGCTTACAGAACCAATCAATTACATTATTATACTCCAGCTACGGAGAGATAGATACTTCCCGTGCCAAAAACAGTACACTAAAGGAAAGAAAAGTGAGACATTCGATACAGTTCAGAGTAGGAACGCCTACTAGAAACAGCACAGTGACTTGGCAACCCTTAGAGATCCAGAAAATGTAATGCATGATGAAAATAAAAGAATATAGCCTATTTAAAAAAGAATAGATTAAAAATGTATCACATTTCAACAAAAACTATTAGGCACAACTGTCTTCAACATGGATAATAATAATAATGGCTGTTTCTTGAGCACCAAATCGGCATATTACAATGATTTCTGAAGGATCATGTGACACTGAAGACTGCAGTAATGGCTGCTAAACATGCAGCTTTGCTATCACAGGAATAAATTACATTTAAACATACATCAAAATAGAAAACAGTTATTTTAAATTGTTTCTATTTTAAATGATTTTCCTACTAAAAATGGGGAGTGCTTGGAACAGTTTTGAGTGATGAAGCAAATGAATGAGTTTTGAATTGATTCACTGAAGCTGACAGTTTAAAGCTCACTGTCTGCCGCTGGCCACTTGGTCGTTACTTTAAATGCGTAACGTTAATTAGGCTATGTGAGTACTGCTCATGTCTGAAAATAATATATGAAAAACAAAATTATTTTACATAAAAACATTAGGCTATAGCTTATATTTATTTAGTACATTTTTAAAATAATGTAAAAACTAAAATGAATTGTAAAACTGAAAGTAATTTTTTTTAATTGTGTTCAGCATGGTGGGTCGCATTTGAATTCGTGACGGGCCGCATGCGGCCCGCGGGCCACGGGTTGAGAACCACTGGTTTAAAGTGTTTCACAAAAACAAATCATTTTTTGCTACTGTAGTTTAAAACATCTCTGCTTTAACGCTTTCATACGTAACTTACAACATAAGGCATCTCAAAACTAATCTAATGTCACACTCTTCAGCAATCTCAATGGCAAAATAAATTGCATTACAACCTTTGTCCAAAAATACAAAAGGGAACAGACCAGTTACAAAATGATGGGCAGCAAAGTGCTGTTTTTAATGTAAAAGTAATGATCATACGCCTCTCCACAGGGCCAAGGTTTTCATATCTAACTTCAGAGATGTAGAAGACCGTCCTTTTATCTTGTTTCCAAGAGCTCAGCCATTTTTCTAAAATGACAGCTCCTTTTACGCTCTTCATTTTAAGCTCTCTTTCTCTCTCTCTGTGTGTGTGTGTGTGTGTGCGTGCGTGCGTGTGTGTGTGTGTAAAATAATGTTGGTGTGTGATAAAAAGGATGGCTCGCATGGATGTTTCTTCTCTGATTCAGACAGTAGTTTTAAAAAGCCTTCAGTTTCATCAGAAGATATGTGTATAAAATTAAACATGGGCAAATGCTTATATTGCATCAGTTCAGTAAAGCCAAGTGTTTTCATGTATCTGATGCAAACTGTACATAGAAAAAGACCTTCTACTGTGCAAGTGTGTGTGTGTGTGTGTGTGTGTGTGTGTTTGAGAGGAGATACACCATCAGCCCTCATCCGCCTGCGGGACTGATCCATCATGTTAAACTTATGTACCAAATCAGATTACATGCTTCAGAGACATTACATGTTTAATAGCCTTCTTCATGTACTTGAAGTCAGAAACATCAAAAGAACTCTCGGCTGAGCAGACGGAGCATGTCAGGACTGCAAGATACGACAGGCTGATAACCAGCCATCAACTCTTCAGCTCTGATAGAGCACTCTGGGTATTTGTGCTGAGGGACAACCTCTATTCATGTCGTATCTCTCTATTCGGCAATCAGAATCATTCAGACTCAAAAAATCAAGCTGTAGTTGATTCATTTCAGCTGCTCGAGAGGAGAAGCTCCTCATAAATGACATTCAGACGAGGACGAGGATATGTTCAGACATACTACTTACTATATTTGAAAGGAAGCATATGTAGGCATGGAATACTCAAATGAACAGACAAAAATGTATTTCTAATTACATTTTCTTTTAGGGTGACTTGTAACATCTTGTCCAAGGACTACGGATGAAAAATAGCCTTTGGCTAATTCTGGTACATTTACAGGAATGTTTTATTAATGTACAATGTCCCTGTCAACTAAATAAAAAATAAAAAAAACTGACAAAACAGCGTATCCCACAATGCATTTGACCACTTTTAATGTGATAAATGACTTAGTGTAATCAAACTGCTAAAAGTTAAGATATAACTCATAATTGCAGTAAAAATACAACAAAATTAAAAAAGAAAATTACTTTAAATTTTTTAAACATACAGTTTGAAAATACACACTAAGAATTACACTAACTTTTGCACTTTTTTATTGCACTTTAATGGATCATGTGACAACAATGTACAATGATAGAATTTAACTGTTAAAATTGCTGTTTTAACTGTTATACGAGATATTTAAAACTAGTATGCAGTAGGGATGCTCCGATCAGGATTTTTGCAGCCGATACTGAGTACCGATTTCTTGTCATGGTGATCGGCCGATGCTGATTCTGATGCTTCAAGCTTTATATAGACGGTCTCAATGGGCGCACGAGCCTGGCCCGAAGTTAACTTCCGGTCTGTGTTTGTTTATCAGTCTGGCTATGGCACCGGCTACAAACGCAGTTAAAGTTAAGGTGATGAGTAGATTGAAGTTGGGCTATCGGCCGATACCGATCTCCGGCCGATCGATTGGAGCATCCCTAGTATGCAGTTGACAGTATATTCTGAACGGTATATTCAGTATATACTGACAGATAAGCGCATGAGATTATTGAGGATATGGAAAGTGAGTTTGTCAAGTATACCGAGCGTGAACTTGAATTCCACAGCAATCACTTCCATGATCACTAGCACTCGAGTATGTGCTGAATTACAGCCAAGGTGGGTCTGGGACACATGATTCAACGGATGGGCCTAATTCCATGAGCTTTTCTTCTGCAGGAACTACAATAATCTTTCGAAAACATGGCAAACTTCATTAATCCATCTGTAAGCACATCTGGCCCTAATGTGCATCTTTCAGTGTGAATTGAGTATAACAACATGTGATGCTGGCAGAGGAAACATGAGAAGTTCACTCTGGGAAAACATCTGACGATAAATTGGGTTTGCTCATCTATACATGTCTAGTCTATCCTTGGAAAAAACATAAAAACCTACTTTTTGGTAAAGACCTCTCTATTCTAGAAGTACTCTATTCTAGAAGAAAGAAAAGAGAAGCTGTTTTTTTTTCCTTTCTGCACATTTTAGTTTAAACTCTCATCTCTCTATCTGTCTTCCTTTGCCTGTAGCATTCTTATCATATAGCACATACTGATATGACAACATGTTTTTCATTCTAAGATTCAGAATGAGTACAAAAAAACTTCAAATAAAGAAAAAAACCTGCTTTCAAATTCTGCTATGTTAAGACAAAGAGTGGCTTCCATTTCAGAGAAAACTAGTTTTCATTTTTTGTTTTATTTGTATATTTTTTGCCATTTCCCAAGAGATTTAGCGAGGTAAACTCTGGATACACGAACATCTACCCACAAATACACATAACACAAGCTCCCTAGAGTTCACTTTGCTGCCTTTCTTTCTAGAAGTTCTTCTTTTGCTGTGGGGACTTAAAAACACCTCCGTACTCTCTCACAGACACCATCACTCAAAGGCAGCAGCTTTCAAGTGCAAAGTAGGTTTTTACAGTCTACACAGGT